AGCTGGGTCCCATTCCCTACTCCCACTGGGCCTTGTCCAGCCAGACCTTCAGCCTGGTCACCTGCTCCCAGCTGGACCCTTCCCACCCAAACCATTGTGTGGTTCCACAGACACTGTCTCCAGAAGGAGCTGGGAGGGACGGGATCCAAATTCTTCCCAACAGCCCAAGAACCAGCATCCACCATCTTCCACAATCTCCAGTACACGTGGTCTTATCCCAGACATCAAACCAGTCAGACTCAACCCATGGTGATGGTGCCACCCTCCATGTCCTTCCGTGACCACACAGATAAGCTGGCACCATGTGGCAGTGCCACAGCTGGTGTAGGATATCAGGTGTTCCACTGGAGATGACATTCCTGCCCTGTGCCGCCTGGGATGTCCTGGGTACCCAGTCTGCCCCTCTCTCTCCTGCTAAGTCCCATCTTGATGAAGTTCTCCATCACCAACACGCTTGACAGAAAACACTTACACTGCTCCACCTCAGTGCTTTGGTTGTTTGCTTTTAGTAGGATTCACAGGGATCATTTTCTTTGCAGTGTGTGTCACAGCCCTGCCCTTGGATTGAGGATAGGAATGCTGTGGATAACACAGACATGTTTTGTGGTCACTGAGCTTTTCCTCCTGCAGCACCCTGCAGTGTCCCATGGGACAATCCATGTCCCCAGCTCTGTCAGCCAGGAGGTGAGACCATCATCCTCCTTCTCATCACTGTGTCCTACTTGCCTGAGAATCTTTCCATCTGTTCTGCTCCAGAGGGCCACCAGTGCCCACATGGAGCCCTTGGAAGCACTGGGGTGCCCTGGGGCCGTGAGCGGTGGGGCGAGGCGTGGCTGTGATGTCACACAGGTGTCCCCCCCCCGCAGCACTGTGACATCAGCACGGTGTCTCTACAGGACAAGTGCCACCACCCCTGGCTCCCAGTGCGGCCACGATGGGACACGGATGAAGCCATGAGTTTCCTGCTCCCCTCGCTCGTCCTGCTGGTGGCCGGTACGGCCGTCCTGCTGGCCGCCCGCATTTGGAAGGCGCGGAAGCGCCTCGGGAGCCGGGCCGGGGCGTCGCGGTGCTGCCGAGCGGCCCCGGGGGCTCCCGGTGCCCCCCGGGCTGAGGAGCCCCCTGCGCACGGCCCGGCTGCCCCGCAGAGCCCCCTGTACATCCCCTGCGGCTGCGGCCCCTGCTGCACCCCCTGCGCGACAGCGGCGCGGGAGCTGCAGGACCTGGTGACGCCGCTGTGGCCCGAGGTGTCCTTCCCGCGGGACGCGGAGATGTGGCAGCTGTCGTGGGAGGATCTGGAGCAGCTGCTGGAGCAAGGCCGCCTGCCCTGCTGCGCCTCCTGCAGCTCCTCCAGCTCCTCTGAGAGCCCCCAGGCCTCCAGCAGCCCAACAAGAGCCCAGATCTGCAGGAAAACATCTGCCGCTGGAAAAGGCCCAGTCCTCCGCAGAACCCGACGCTGGCTGAGATCCTCCTCCGTTCCAAGAATGTCCATCCCTCGGAAAGGCTCCTCCATTTCCATGCAGACCCTCTGTGACCTGGGTTGTGCTCCAACTGGAACCTGGCCTGTTCCTGCCAAGCAGCAAGTGGAAGTGTCCTGGAGCCGCCGGTGCCCAATCCATGACTCCCAGGATCCTGCGGCGGAGCCATCGGGGCAGACGCTCCGCACGCTGCTGGACAAGAGGCTCCGGCAGCAAAGGCAGCTGTTCCCATGTCAGGAACAGGACCTGGAGCTGGCTGTGGAGGACGAGGCCAAGGAAGATCTCCTCACCTGGGATATTTATAGCAGAGGTCTCCATCCCTGCCAGAGCCTCCATGAGATCTGCTGGACTCCAGATGGAGGAGCCCACATGGACAGGTCTCCCCGCTGCTTCAGAGCCATGGCTGTCCACAGAACTCGCCAGATACCCACAGCCAGGAAAAGCCTGGAAATACAAGTGGGAGCCCGAGCCATTCCAGCAAAGCATTCCCAGCAGCAAGTGTCCCTGAGCCGCCGGTGCCCGATGCACGGCTCCCAGGGTGCAGCAGTGCCCCAGGAGAGAACCCTGCGGGCAGTGCTGCACAAGAGGCTCCAGCGGGAATGGAAGCGCAAGGGAGTTCTGAGGAGATGGCTGTCACGGATCCAGGATGCAGCTCGTGGCAGCAGCTGGCAAACTCTGTAGCATTCTTCCTGCTGGATAAACTCAGGGTTTCCCAAAAAGCTGTCTGGGAGTTCCCACTGCTCTGCTTTCTACTGGGACAGGGCTCCTTTCTTCCCAGGAGCTGGCACATATTGGGCTTGGAATGAGGGTGGGAATGCTGTGGGTAACACATGGGGCATGGTCCAGCCAGCTGGAAAACTGGGATGAAGAAGTTGAAAATTCATTTAATTAGAACTAAGAGGTGGAAAAGGGGGAAAGGTGGAAAAGTATTCCAGTTTTCCCACGGGGAGACTGCCCACACCTGAGAGCCCCAAATTCCCCGTGCCCTCTTTAATTGGCTCTGCTGGGTCCCTAGCTTCCCACAGCACAGCGTGGAACTGGAATTCATTAATAATAATGTCAGTGTCAGAAGCAGTGGGAATCTTTGTTTGGAATGAGAAATGGAGGAAAAATGGAGTGAAATACCACGAAACACCAGAGAGTGTAGAGAGTGGGTGGTGGAAAAGCAGCTGTTAGAATTGGTAAATTTCCCAGACTTATTTCCAGATATTATTATTTTAAAGTAATTTTTTATCCCTCCACCACAAAACCAGTACTGTACCTATGAAAATATGTGGAGATAAAAAAGAAATACTTAATTTAAAAACTTCCGGGAAAAAAACAATTGTAGATTGAAACATGTAAGAGAATCCACAGCAAGGAAACATAAACCCCAATTTTAGCAAGATTAATGCATAATAAATATTAAAAATTAATTTCCCCAAGAAACAAGCCAGCTTCTTATTGTCCAAACTGGCAAAGAGCAGATTCACGGATTTTGATGTCTATGAAGCACCCAGAGAGCTCAAAACTGGAATTCTTTGTTTGTCTTCAAATGGTTTTTCAGCTGTTACAGAATTCCCTCTAAAACTGGGATTTTCATTTAAAAACATGGCTTAAGCCACTTCTCTGGAGAAAGAGAAACAGTATTTTTGAGTTCAAATTTTATTCTGAAAACAAAACCCATCCCATGGCTCTGACAAGCAAACACTACAGCAAATACAGAATAAAATAAGAAATAAAAGGTTTTAATTCCCATCCGGGGACCTGTAAGTTGTGTACAACATGGAAAAATGCCTCTGGAATTCAGGGACTAAGAGGCTGCAATTCTAGGCTTATGGATATTTTTATTTTTAAGCATTTCTAAGCAAATTTCAGGCTGGGAGAGCTGCAGTCTGGGCTCAGCTTTCCCTGGATTACGCACTAAAAGAGGGCCAGGACCTTGCTGGAATTGAGACCACAACTGGGTTTTGAATAAGGAGAGTGACCATGAAAAGGGAAGGAAAAACCTTAATGAATTCTCTTTAAAGGGAGAATTTTACCTCATTGCTTGAAGCCTCCTTCCCAATTCCAGCTTGCCTTCCACTCCTATCACTCAAGCAAGTTTCTGCTTGCATCTACCTTTTCTGGGATGGATGGGATCAGGCTGAAATCTAACTTCGCCTGGGTCTGCTCTGGAGCTGTTCAGCTTTGGAATTCTGAAATCTGGGAGTGTTTGTGCCCAGAAGCCGTTCCACTCTGCCGGCCTCACCCATCCCTTCCCAGCACTAACACGCAGCACTGACACACAATTGCCCTTACTCTAAAATTTCTCATTAAGCCCTCCAGAAACCCAATCCCAGAGGTCTGTGGGCGCCTGATCCGGTTATTTTGCCTTTTTAGTCTTTGTGGCCGGGGTGCCGTTGGGCTTGGAGTTGCCCTTGGCTTTCTTCTTGGCCCCTCCCTTGGGCTCCGGCTCCTTGCGCTTGGCCGAGGTGATGGAGCCGGTGACCTTGAAGAAGTCGTCGAGCCGGCCCTGGGTGCTCCCCTGGCGGCTCTTGCTCAGCCTCTTGACGCCGTTGCGGACGCGCTCCTCGTTGAACTGCTTCTCCCCGCACATGAACTGCACCAGCTGCTCCTCGTCCGGCTCGCTCCACTTCAGCTCCACGGCCTCGGGATCGATCACGTCGGGCTCCAGGAAGAGCTTCTGTGCCTCCTTGTGCAGCCAGTTCTCGGGCAGGGGGTACTTCTTGGTGTCGAGCTGCTGCACGATCCTCTCGATGGATTTGTGCTCCCGGATGAGCTCCACGGCGCGCTTCGGCCCGATGCCGCGGATGCTGCCGCAGTAGTCGCAGCCCAGCAGGATGCACAGGTCCACAAACTGCTCCCAGGTCAGCTGCAGGTCCTGCAGGATCCGGTTCAGGTGGAACTCCTGGATGGGCAGCTTCTTGGCCTCGCTGGCCGTGAGGTGCCGCATCAGCACGGGGCTGCCGAAGGTGAGGCAATCCATGTCCTCCGTGGCGGCGGCGTACACCTTCCCGGCCTTCACCAGGGCGGCGCAGCTGGCCTCCGCCTCGCCGGGTGCCTCCACGTAGGGGATTCCCATCAGCGTCAGCAGCTTCTTGCACTCCTGCGTGTGCTGCGGGGTCACCTTGACCAGCCTCTTGCTGTACTTCTCGATGTTCTCCTCCTCCCCGGCCTCCTGCGCTTCCTGCAGGTGCTTCTCCGCCTCGGCGCGGCGCTCCGTGCGCTTGGCCAGCTCCCCGGATTTCAGCTGCGGGGGCTTCCCGTCGAACACGTACACGGGCTTGATGCCGTTCTCCACCATGCGGATGGTGCGGTAGAACATTCCCATCAGGTGGCTGGTGGTCTCCCCGTCCTCGTTCTGGAGCACGTCGGCTCCCTGCCGCACGGCGATCAGGAACTGGTAGATGCTCATGGAGGCGTCGATGGCCACTTTCCGGCCAAAGTAGGACTTGATGTCGTTCTCCCGGATGGCCCCGGGAGCCACGTCGGCAATAAGCTTGGCCAAGCCATGAATTCCCATCCTGGGGAAGGGAAAAGGGGATGTTGAGAGCGGGCTCTGCGTGAGGAATGCTGGGCCACCCAAGGAGGGGGAAGCAAAGAGGGCACTGCTTCCCCTGCAAACCATCACTCCAAGGGCTGTGGCCTCTACTGGCAGCTCTTATCCCGAGTCCTGCCTCAGGCCACCCTTATCCCTCACCACTCCCTCTCGGCCCGTCATTACTCCCCTTTCACCCTCTATCCCTCCCATCCCAATCCCCTTCCCCAAAATTCGATTAGCTCTACCATTACAACCATCTAGACCCCATCACCTCCCCATTCTTATCTCCTTATTTCCCAGCTCCCCAGGTCTGCCATCAATCCCTCTTCAATCCGCCTCAGATCTTCCCTTTCCCTCAGCCACCATTACCTCCTCATATCCCCGTTCTCCCTCAGACACTATTCCCCCTCAGAGTTCCCTTTTCCCCTCCGGGCCCCAATTATCCCTCAGCCATTACCCCTCAAAGCCCCCGTTTCCCCTCACATCCCCGTTATCCCTCAGTCATTCCCCCTCAGAGCTCCCGTTTCCCCTCACATCCCTGTTCCCCCTCAGCCATTACCCCTCAGAACCCCCGTTTCCCCTCACATCCCCGTTATCTCTCAGCCATTCCCCCTCAGAGCTCCCGTTTCCCCTCAGATCCCCGTTGTCCCTCAGACGCCATTACCCGTCGGAGCTCCCGTTTCCGCTCAGATCCCCGTTATCCCTCAGCTATTCCCCCTCAGAGCCCCCGTTTCCCCTCAGATCCCCCCGTTATCCCTCAGCCATTCCCCCTCAGAGCCCCCATTTCCCCTCAGATCCCCCCGTTATCTCTCAGCCATTACCCGGCCGCTCGCGCGCCGTTGCTCCCGCGCTCCGCCGCCGAGCCCGCTGGGAGCCGCCGCGGACCAATAGGGAAGCGGCTCGCGCTCGCCGCGCCTCGTTCCCACCCTCACTTCCACTTCCGGCGGCGGAGGGGGGCGGACGTGCGGCGGCGGGAGCGGAGCCGACGTGTCGCAGCAGGGACCGGCGACATGGTGAGGGCGGGGATGGGGAGAACCGGGGGTTGCCACAGGGGGCCCGGCCCGGTGGCGGCTCGGCCCCGCTGAACACCGCCGTGTCCCCGCAGGAGCTGGAGGCGATGAGCAGATACACGAGCCCGGTGAACCCGGCCGTGTTCCCGCACCTCACCGTGGTGCTGCTGGCCATCGGCATGTTCTTCACCGCCTGGTTCTTCGTGTATCCCCGCGGCTGAGCGCAGGGTCCCCTTGCTGTGCCTCCCAATCCCGGATTATCTCCGTGATTCCCGGGGGCAGGGGAGCGGGTGGGGGTCCCCTCGCCTTGCTGTGCCTCTGTTTTATCACCTTAACCCCCGGCCTGGCAGCTACGAGGTGACATCCACCAAGTACACCCGGGACATCTACAAGGAGCTGCTGATCTCGCTGGTGGCATCGCTCTTCATGGGCTTCGGCGTCCTGTTCCTGCTACTCTGGGTCGGGATCTACGTCTGAACCCCCCGGGGGGCGTGGATGGGGGATTCGGGAAAGCTCTTTTTATATTTGTTTTGTATTTCAAGGAGAAAACGCCTGTAGCAGGTGTGGTCTGCGACAGGCAGTGACCCACAGGTGAATAAAGGTGGCTCTGACACACCTGACTGGCGACTGCTGGTTTGTCTATTTTTTTTGTCTTTTTTTTTTTTTTTTTTTTTTTTTTAACCTGGCTTTTCCAAAGGGCTTGGGTAGAATTAGGGGAAGTCTAAGGCTGGAAAAGCCCTCTAGGATCACCCAGTCCAACCACACCTCCAGCACTGCCAAGGCCACCACTAACCCATGTCCCCAAGTGCCACACCCACACAGCATTTAAATCCCTCCAGAGATGGAGACTCCACCTCTGCAGCCTGTTCCAGTGCTCTAAAACCTTTTCCATGAAGGAATTTTTCCTAATGCCCAACCTAAACCTCTCCTGGTGCAGCTTGAGGCTGTTTCCTCTTGTCCTGTCACTTTCTCTGGGAGAAGAGACCAATCCTACCTGGCTGCACACTCCTGGCATGGAGTTGAGCAGAGTGGAAAGGTCCCTCCTGAGCCTCCCTTTCTCCACATTGGCACAAGATCTTTGGGATCTTGGGTACTTTGGGACGTGGCCAGTGTTATCCCGGGTTTCTGTGCTGTGTGTGGTCACAGGTGTTCCACTGCCACCTTGTGTCCTGGCTGTGCAAAATAAACCCTAAATCTGCTTCTAATCCCTCAGCCTTCTTTGCTGTCACATCTCTTCACCCTTTTTTTGGGTGTTCTCATCCCTAACCAGGAGTTTTGTGGTGCTGGATGTGTCCTTCATTAATTCCTGAATTAACTGCCTGGCCTAGAAACAAGGAATTGATTTATATGTCCACAAGAGGCAGGTTGGAATTTTAGCCCAGCTTTCAAACCATTCCACTTCCAAATCACAAATCCAAGCCCTGATTTCCCATTTGGGAAGGAAGATTTCCTTCTGTGGACTTTTGGATGCTTTTGGATCTGAGTCTGCCCTCTGAAGTGAGCAATGTGATGTCAGAGGCAGGTTTCCCTTTTCTTTTTCCTTCCTTTCTTCCTTTTCCCCTCCTTTTTTCTTTTTCCTCCTTTCTTTGTCCTTCTGCTTTCTTTTTCCTTTTCCCTTTGTCCATTTAACCTTTGTTTTCCCTCTTTATTTTCTTCATTTTTCTCCTACTTCCTTCGTTTTCCCTTCCTAATTTCTTTCCCTTTATTCTTTTCTTTTTCCTCCTTCCTTTCTCCTTTTTATTCCCATTCCAAAGAACCTTGACTGGCATATCCAGAAACTTCCACTGATTAAAAACTTGGCATTTTCTCCATCCCGTGGGCAGTTTTACAGCCATTCACCTGAGTTATTCCATCAGAAAGGGAGGAAAACACCAGGAGCCATCCTTGGATACAAAGCAGTATTTATATATTTTATTCATATGGGCACATTTACCTCCAGCATAAAACAAAGTCTAAATAAGCAAAACAAAACAAACAAACAAACAAAAAAATCCGGGGAATCCGGAAACTCAGCCCTCAAATTCAGCAAAATATAAATATAAATCAGGAAGAAAAGAGGGAAACCACGCTTGTTCCCCACAAATAAAAACCAGGAATCAATAATAACCTGCTACAAATGCAACTCTACAAACTGGCTGGCAAAATACAGTGATTAAAGCTGTGGCAGCAACATTAAAACCAACAAAATTAGTGCTTTACGTGGTGTTTTTTTCCTTAATTCTTCCAGTGGTGCCATAGTCTCTATTTACAGGCTTTAAGCTCCAACAGTAGGACAGAAGAGTTGGGAATTTGCTTTTGAAACAACTCCCAAACAGCCTCATTCTCCACCCTCTTGTCTTCCTTCCCGCCAGGAATGTCTCTTTGCCGCTGGATGGGGAGGGATTTCCCCAGGCTGGAGAGGAAAGGCCTGATTGTGAACTCTCTTGGTACTGATTGGGGACAGGGGAGGGGCAGAGATGCATTTTGGGGGGGGAAATCCATGCAGACAGCTGTTTCCAGGGGCCTGGAAGCAATTCCATGACTCCTTCATTTTACAATTCTGAGCCCCTTTGGAGCTCATTGCTGCCTCGCAGGGCAGCAGCTGATGGATGATTTTTACCATGGAATCCTGGAATGGTTCGGGTGGGAAGGGACCTTAAAGCCCATTCAGTCCCACTCCCTGCCGTGGGCAGGGACACCTTCCACTGGTCCAGGCAGCTCCAAACCCATCCAACCTGTCCTGGAACACTTCCAGGGATGGGACATCGAAAACTTCTCTGGGCAACCTGTGCCACTTTTAAGACATAAGGTACTATTGGCACTAAAATCTTCATCCTGAATCCCTGTCCTCTCCTGATGCCAGGGATTGCTGCCAGCTCCATGTGGGTAGGGCTGGCTTTGGCACTCCAGGAATTGCCACATCCCAGTTAAACCACCCGGGCACCATGTCTGAGGCAGCATTTGGGAATATATGTGGGAAAACACTGTTCCTTGGGGCTGTTCCACAAGGAAAAAGGCACTAGAGATGTTTCCAGGCACTTGGTTTGTTGGGAATCTCCTCAAATCCCATGGCTGAGCATCCTGGGGACACCTGAGAGATCCCAACTTCCTCCTGGGCCACCACTGATTGATTCCTTCCCTCAGGAGTGGGGTGGAATGTACTGGAGTGTCTTGGCTGAGGGGGGTGGTGATTGCAGGCTCTGGCCCCCCAAAATTCCCTGTTTCCTCTTCCAGGAGCTTTTATCCCAGCTCAGCATCACTCACCTGAGGGAGGACGTGCCAGCCTGGGCCACTGATTGCCAAGGGAACAACAAACCTGCCAAGGAAGTCACTTCCCAGTTTAAAACCAGGAAAAATCACTCAGGGCAGGTGGAGGGAAAAGCACTCAGCTACATCCAGGTGTTTCCTCCCCAGTTTTAGGGAAAAACAGAGAATCCTGCTGAGCATGGAGCCTCCCTGCTTGTGCATAGGTATTCCCAGGCCTTGGGGTGCCCTGCTGTCCCACTGAGTGTCCCAAAACTGGGTTTTCCAACTGCTTGGGTGCTCGGAATGCCCTGCTCACCCACTATTCCCTGCTTCCCAGGACTCAGTGGATTTTAGTAACTATAATTCAGTGTTTCCAGGCCTTGAAACCTCTCTACAAACAGTTCTTGGGGGCAGGTGCCAAATCCAAGTGACATCACCAGGAATTTCAGGGCTGCTTCGCTGGGATAAGCTCAGGAGGGGGATGATGGGAGACAAAACCAGATGTGCCCAGGAATCACCACTTTACCTGGATAAAACCCATCTTTGTTTTTCCAGAGCAGCTTTAGAGTGTCCCTAGGATCAGCATGTGGCATTCCCCCCTCACTTGTTTCCTCAGGGAAATCCATCTTGGAATACCCTGGAGGTGGCTGAGCCTCCAGGAACACGGACAACTCCTCTGTAGCACGAGGAGCAGGACGGGGAGGGGGAAGCACAGGGAGCCACTTGGCTTTCCCACAGGACACACCTGGCTCAATGGGGCCAGAAGGAAATTCCTGGTTTTTTTACAGCTTAAACCCCACAAGAATTCAGTAGTTTAGCAATTTAAAGACTTGTAACAGTAAAATATCCCAAATCCCCCCAGCACAGCTCTGTGAGGGCAGGGACAGGCTGCAGCTGCTGCCATCCCAACTTTTGGGAGAACACCACCCCTCTCCTGAGGCAGAGATCCTGCCTGGACACAGATCCTGGTGCTCCCAGGGACTTGGCCTTGCTCTGCAGGGCACTCCAGGCTTTGCCAGTGCTGCACATCTGGGCAGAGGTTGGCACTGGCTCCAGAGCCGACCAGGCAGCTCCGCACATGCCGCTTCCAAGCAGACAAAAACGGATCCTACCACACTGAATGTGGGTAAGTCCTGGTCATTTGTCACCCCATCCTGGGGACAAGTGTCCCTAGGTGTGGCATGGCCTCAGCAACAGCTTGAGTGGGGGTTTTATCCATCCAGACCTGGATATCCCACATGGATATGGGATTTAAGAGCACAAAGAAGAGGGGGGATGACGTTGAAGCTGCTCCTTCTCCGGTTGTTCCTAGAGGAACGTGTCCATTGGCAGGTCCGCGAGTCTCTGGGAAGTCCGTGGGAAGTGGCCCTGGGCCAAGCAGAAGGAACAGCAACTCCAGTGTAGAACTTCCAGTAGGTCCAGGCACAGCCATCCTTTCCAGGCCAAACTCCAGCGTTTGGCCCTTGGAAAGGGCTCCAGTGTTGAAGCAATTCCAGTGTTGTGAAGAACTGATGTGGGACATCTGGGAGCACCGGGTGGGGCTCCTGTCCACGGAAGGAGCACCCCTCTGAGATGTGGCAGAGCTGTCCACGCTCAGTCCGGTGTGATGCTTCCAAATCCAGTGTTGGAAGGGGAGGGGGAAGCGATGGAGGACACAAACATCCCCCTAAGGGAAGGACAGGGGTGTGGGATGCTGGGAATCGGTGCGAGGTCCCCCCAGGAGCCACCACAGGGCTGGTGGTGGCTTTTAGGTCCTGTGTGTCCTGAGCTTCAGTGTCTCCAGCCACCACCATTCCAGCTCCGGAGCTTCCGCAGGACACAGGGATGAGGCGGGGCTGGGGGCCAGCGGAGCAGGGAATTCGGGAGGCTCCCAGTGGCACCAGTTCCCCTCCTGTCTCCGAGCAGAGGGCACTGGTGCTGCCGGGACTCACTCACAGAGCCAGTAGAACTGGAAGTAATAGTCAGTGAAGAGGTGCCCCAGCTGCTCCAGGGAAGTGCTGCAGTCGGCTCGGCCCTAGGAACGGGAAAAGCAGCTTAGAGAGAGAGGGGTGCCACTCCAAGGGTGGAATTCTGCCTGGATTATGGGCTGGGGTAGGGACAGATCATCCTCCTACCACCCACAGGACTGTGGGAAACTCCTGGTGCTAAACCTGCATTTCCCACATTCCATAAATCCCCCATTTCTCTCCGTCCACGTGGCCCTGGACAAGCTGCGGGTACTCACCGGCTGCGCCACTCGGAAGTGGTAGGAAAACTCTCGGAAGGACAGCATCACCAGGGGCCAGCGGTGCGAGGTGTCCTGGGGAGGCAAGGGGGACACCTGGTCAGGGATCAGCTTGGGGGATGGCCTCCAGGCTGCATCTGGGAGGAAATCCACAGCCTCCTGCTGTCAAGTGACCCCATGGATGATTCCTGGAGCACAAGTTTCCTGGAGGATCCTTCCTGGGATGAGGAAGGGCTCTGGGAGCTGGAGGGGCTCAGCTGGGAGGAAAGGAGGCTCCAGATGGACCTTCTGGCTCTACTGGAAGTAGGGATGGTCCAGGTGGACCTACTGGAAGTTCTGCATAACTCCCTGACAGGAGAGGGCAGCCAGGTGGGATCAGGCTCTGCTCCCAGGGAACAAAGGACAAGATGAGAGGAAATGGCCTCAAGCTGTGCCAGGAGAGGTTTAAGTTGGGTATTAGGGAAAATTCCTTCATGGGAAGGGCTGCCTTATTCCTTGTGGGAATAAGTTGAGGGGTGGAAGGGGAGCAGCAGTAGAGTCCCCACTCCTGGAGGGATTTAAAAGCCGTGTGGATGTGGCGCCTGGGGACATGGTGGCCTTGGCAGTGCTGAGGGAATGGTTTGACTTTTCCAAGCTCAACGATTCCATGTGTATTTAGTGAGCTGTCCCCTTCTCCCTACCTGTGCATCTCTGGAGTCAGTGGAGCTGTTCCTGCTCACAGCATCCTGGCAGGGATCACTGGAGACAAGGTCACAAAGGGAGATGGACACAGTGGAGGAGGAGCTGGGAAGAGAGAACACCGTGAGAGCCCAGAAGGGGGAACAAGTGTCCCTTTCCCATGGAGACACCGTGGCCACATCAGCCCCTCCAGGGGCTCCCAAAGGACATGATCCATGGGCACTCACTTCATCTCCAGGGTCAGGTTGGTGTTCACGGCTGTCTGCTGGCTCACAGGGATGCGGTAGCTGAAATTCCCACTCCTGGGAACACAAAAAGAACATTAGATGTCACCAGGCTGTGGGAAAGGCAGGACAGGACTCAAAATCCCTGCCAGGCTGAGAACTCAGAGGGGAGAACTTCCCAATGTCCCAAGGACAAGCCCACCACCAAACACAACCCCTGAAGGAAAGCTGGGAGCACCAGCTCCTCTTCCCATGGAGCAGCAAGAAGTGATGGCAGGAAACACCCAAGAAAATCTTGGAAAAACTCCCAGATTTTCCTATTTGCTAAATAGGAATAAATTTCCTAAAGTGCCACCAAGGTGCCACCAGCCAGCCCTTCTGGCTCACCTGCAGGCATCGGCAGCGGCGCAGTACTGGGAATGGATGGCCAGGTTGATCTCCAGGATCCGGATGGACTGCAGCACCGGGCTCGGCCCTGTCAGGGAGAGAACAGGGCGTTTAGGAACAGCAAAGGGTGGAAAATCCTGAGGCTGGAAGGGAAAGAAGGTGGGATCCACGTACCATCCATGCCGGGCTGCTCCGTGCGGGGCCGCTCGCTCACCGGCTGCCGGAGGCTGCGCTGCTGCCGGGAGCTGCTGCGGGAGAGCGAGAGGTTGGAGATGTACTTGGATTTGCCCTGGATGTGGGAGAAGGGGGAGGAGGGGCTGGCATTGGGGCTGCTGAAGCTCTGAGACCTGTCAGGAGTCTTTGGCCACTTGGTGTAGGAGGTGGATTTCCCGGTGATGCCCCTGGATTTGGCTTTGATATTTGTCACCGGCAGGAGGGAGGGCTGGCTTTGGTCTGCGGAAAAACGGGAGAGAAGGTTGTGCTGAGAGGCAGAGAAAGGCTGGGAGCACTGGGATCACCCTGTCCCCATGTCACCTCCTGTTGCTCCCCAAGTTGCCCAGAGAGGCTGTGGCTGCCCCTGGATCCCTGGAAGTGTTCCAAGCCAGGCTGGATAGGACTTGGAGCTACCTGGGATAGTGGGAGGTTCCCTGCCCATGGCAGGGGTGGAACCAGATGGGCTTTAAGGTCCCTTCTGACCCAAAGCATACCAGGAGTCTGTGCTTCCACTCCCTTTGTGCCTGATGGAGCTGATGATGGAGTGAGGAGGGAATGAGGTCAGACCTCAAGGCAGGGCTGCTCAGGTGAGCTGTGCCTGGTGTTGCTTCCCATGACTTTTTGCTGGCAACATGGGAAGCTCCAAATCCTTTTTACTCACACACCCCTGGCAACAGGATCCAAACTGCATCACATGAGCAGAGAAGGACATAAAGGATACATTCAAGGATAAGGATAGAAAGGGTATCAGCTATTAAAGAGCTTCCAAAGGAGTGGAATGAGGATGACAAAAGATCTGGAGGGGAGAAGGAGCTGGAATTGTTCATCCTGGAGGAGACTGAGCAGACCTTCTCACAAGGAACACGAGGAGGACACGAGGTGACACAAACCTTGGAGATGTCCCAGCATTCCTGGGAATCTGGGCTGGCCCTCACCTGTCCGGTTGGTGGCGTGGGCAGGGCTGGTCTCCGAGGGGACAGTGGAGGAGATGGCAGTGGGAGCAATGGAGCAGCACGTGGAAAAACAGGGAGGGCTGAAACAGGCCAGCACACCGCGACCGGGAACACCAAGGGCTACTCCATGTGTCTCATCCAGGACTGCAGGGACAACACAGGGAATAAATAAGTCAAGGGATGGAACAGGAGCAGCACCTGGTGTCCTGCAGCCCTTCCATGAAACCAGAGCCATCCCAATCCATCACCCACCGTGCTCTGGGGGGATCCTGCTGCTGGCCCCATGGGATGTGGCCGTGGATCGCACGATCTGCGTCTTGTCAATGTTCTGGCTTGACCTGGAATGCAGGAAAAGATGCTGGAAACCTCCTGGGTGTGGACAATGGGGTCACTTGTAGGTGGGGAGAACAGCGGCTGCAGCTGGAGGATGGGAAGAGGGACATGGAGTAAGTGGAGATGTGGAAGAGAACAGAGTGATGTGGGAAAGGCAGGAGAAAGGCACACAAGCCACACAAGCCATGAAAATAGCAAGGAGAGCTCAGAAATTCCACAGGGAATGGTGTGGCAGTTCCATGTCTGGCAGGGAAAAACCTCAGCTGATTCAGAGGACACCAGCAACCCTCCTGGAACACGGTGTACGTGGTGGATTTGACTCCCATCAGGAATCTCCTGGGTGGATTTAGGTGCTTGGGAATCAACAGCTTCAAGCTCTCACCACTCCCTAAGCAATGTGCCCCTTATCCCTTGAAGACACACTGTTCCTCACCTTGTTCCTCAGAAACACACACAATCCCCCCACCCCCAAATTCATCCCATGGAATTCCAGGTGTTTCACTGCAGCTAGCCAAGACCTGAGCTGAGGACACCACAGCCATCTCCAGAGGGTAAGGGAGATGGGAAAGGGAGGGAATCTTTCTCCCAGGTCAGCAGAACAAGGAGCACTTCTAGATACCTGTGTCCATGTCTTACCTGTCCCTGAGCATGGTTCCAGGTTTGTGTGGTATTAACAGAGCTTCACTCATTTAGAGGAATTAAAAAAACACTTTGTCATCTCTGAGATTTGTCTAAATAGAGGGATTTTTTTTTCCAGGTGAAAGGAGACTCAATGCCAGTCTTCAAAGAGAATATGGGCACAAGCCTCTGGAGCTTCACCTTCATCCCAGTCTAAGTCTAAGCCTTACCCCTGCAGTTCCTCCAATGCCTTTTCCCTTCTCTTTACACAGCTTTATCTTGCTCCTGCTCTCCCTGCAGGATGCAATTTCTTTATTTAACCTTTAATTAATTGATTTTTCCATCTCCTACTCCTAATTTCCCTTCCCTGACAAGACCCATAACCCTTCCTCCTGCAATCCCACTGGAAGTCTCACATCCCTTTCTCTGTTTCCAGTTTCTCGGCCTTTCATGGTGCAGGAAAAAAAGAGGAATTAAGAGAAGGACAAAGGAATTAAATAATGAAATAATGAAACAGTCACATACCGTGGACACAGAGCGACCGGAATTCCGGGACCCCCTTGCCGAAAGAGGGCCAGGAGACAGGCAGTGGGTACAGCAAAGGAGCTACAGGACAGTGCAGGGAGACAAGGAGAACAGGAAAGTGGGAAGATGACCAGGAGGACAGGGAATGATAGAGGATATGGAAGATCATGGGAAGGAAAAGACAAAAATGGGGAAATCAAAGACGAAGTGGCAGGAAAATGGGTTGGATGAGAGATGTGAGGAGGACAGGAGGGAGAAAAATGGGAGAGGGAAAAGAGAGGGAGAAAAAGAGACTCATTATCAGGTTACACGAGCTCCCAAAGCTGATCCAGCCCTGATGCACCAGGGGGATGAGGCTGTTTTAGCCCAGCTGGAGGCATCCAAGGAACATTCAGCACATCCTAAGAAGAGATTCCCTTTTCCTTCTCTATTCCTCACTTCTTGCTCCAGATAATTCAACCACCATCAGACTGGGGTGTGTGGCTGTGCTTGGCAGGGTCTGTAGCTCTGGAACTGTGCTCAGCAATCCCAGTTTCTGTGCTCCAGCCTCTCCCAGGTGTCCTCATCCCTCCCAGCAATTCCCAAAATACCCACCCATCGATGTCCACGAGATCCTCTTCGCTGCGCAGGCTCAGCACGTAGAGCGTGGACATGGACACCACGCTGGAAAAGAGACAAGGGCAGGGTGAGGAGGAGCAGGGAGCAAGGACAGGGCATGGGATCAATCCACTTCCATGGGATTCCAGGAGAGACGGATGCCCCATCCCTGGAAGTTTTCGCAGCCAGGCTGGAGCAACTTGGGATAGTGTAAGTTCCCAACTCATGGCAGGGGGTTGGAACCAGATAAACTTTAAGGTCTCTTCTGACACAAAGCATTCCAGGATTGTCTGGAAGAGGCCATAGACCCACAGCCCCTCACTGCACACCCCATGGACAGCACAGTCCCAATGGATGAGCTGGATGCAGAAGGCCAGGAGGGGGATCTCACCTGAATGCCATGATGATGACGAGGGCAATGATGGTGCCCTGAAGGAAGCGCTGGCTGATGCAGGCCTGCTCCGGGACAACCGATGGAGACTGCGATGGAAAAAATCCTGGATCAGCTCATTCAGGGTCCCCTGGATCAGCTCAGCTCCCTCACTGCTCTGGTCCTTGCACAGATCTCCCCCAGCCCACCCTGAGCTCTCCTCCTGCCTCCTTGGAAATCCTCAACTCCCCAAGTTTAGAAGTCATTCAATGTCTCCATTAGGAGATAGAAAGGAAGATCATGGGAAAACTGAGGCTGGAAAAGCCCTCTAGGATCATGGAGTCCAGCACCTCCCTCAGCACTGCCAAGGCCACCACTAATCCATGTCCCCAAGTGCCACATCCACATGGTTTTTAAATCCCACCAGCAATGGGGACTCCACCACTGGAGCCCACTCCAGTGCCTGACAGCTCTTTCCATGAAGAAATTTTCCATAATATCCAGCCTAGCCCTCCCCTGGCACAACCTGAGGCTGTTTCCTCTTGGATAAGGCAGGGAGCAGAGCCCAGTCTCCTGGCTCCAAAGTCCTTCCAGGCATTTTTGGACAGTGAGGTTCCCCCTGATCCTCCTTTTCTCCAGGCTGAGCCTTCTCTGCTCCTGGCACTGCTCCTTTGGGATCCACCCCTTACCTTGCTGGCGACTTTGTGGGGTCTCTTTTTGTGGGGCACGCTTCCTGCCCGGCTGAACTGGCTCCCAGTTTGGCTGCAAGGAAAAGGAGGAATGGAGCTGAGCTGGGCAGGGATAGGTTTCCAAACTATTACCAGGAAAAAATGGGATTTTCTGGGAGGGAAAAGATGTTTTTGTGGTGTGACAGTCACAAACCCTTTTGGTGCTTTGCCCCAAAACTGGCATAAGCAGGGTCAGGATGGAGACTTTGGAAGCATGGGAAACTCTTTGCCATGAGAAAGCCACTGACTTTAGGGAAACATGGAGACCATTTCATCCTGGGTGTTGTTGGGCTGGTCCTGTGGGAATTCCAAACCTCCTCAAGCTCAACTCTTTAAATCCACTCCAGGCCAGACAACATCAGCCAACATCCCAGTCCTTCCTCATCTCCCTGTTCCCAATCCGAGCTGCCCCTTGAAACTCCCTGGGATGAAAGGGGACATTCCCTGTGGCTCCATGGGTACCTGAAGGCTCCAGAGCTCACAGTTGACTTCATGCTGTCCAGCCTCTTGAGCTTGGCCAGCTTGTGGCTCCACCTTTCCAGCTCATCGATGCGCGTCTCCAGGTTATCCGTGAGCTTGCACAGCTCCTTCACGGCTCCCACGTTCTCCATGAAGATCCGCTCCTGCCAGGGAATCAGGCCAGCAGGCTGAGGCACACCTGGACCTGGATGATCCATGCCCTCCATGTGTGCTATGGGAGACTGTCCCCTCAATTCCCAGAGCAGCAACCAGGCTGCCACAGGTTGGGAAAGGTCGGGAAACCAGGTGCTCCAGGTTATCCTGACATAAGCACCTTATCTTATCTAGGAAGGGGAGATTAGGACTGGGAGCCTCCCAGCAGGAAGCTGCCAACAAGGAGCCCTTCCCCAGGGAGATGCTGCCAAATTTCACCAGCATCAGGCTGGTTCCTCCCTGCCGGTGTCTGATATCCACCCAGGGCTGCTCCCGACTTCTGGAAGACCAGCCAGGTCTGAAACTCATCTGGGAGCATTTCCCAGGCATCCCACCTTCCCTCTCCCATATCCAGCTCCACCATTCCTTCGAGCCAGCTTCCCCAGCCTCCTGGCTGCCACCAACCTTGTTCACCACCAGGAAGTTCTCCAGGGTTTTCCCATTGGAAAAGACCAGGTCCCCAGTGTCCTTCACAGCTTCGGGCAGAATCTCCTTCACCTCCTGAGCGATGACACCTGTGTGGAGATGGAACAGTGGGGTGGGATGGGATCACCCTGCATCCCCTGGATCCTCATTCCAAGCTGTGCACAGCTCCTTGGAGACCCTCAAGGGCAGAGGATGGTCAGACAAAGCTGCTCCCAAAATTCTATGGATAGGGATCATCATCCCACCATAGTGTACTTGGAGAAATCTTCTCCCTGTGGGAAGTGCCACTTTCTCTCCCACTCACCAAAGAGGGAATTTCATTAGATTCCTTAATTTGGGAGGTTAGAAGGCGCCTCTTGCCCACCCCACACCTGGGGGGCTGCCCTGGCACAGAGCTGGGTCCAGCTCTTGGGAAAGGCAGGGAATTCCTGTGGGACATTCCTGTGTCAGAGGCGTATTCCCATGGGACATTGCCATCTCACAGATGTATTCCCATGGGATGTACCTGTCTCAGAGGTGCTGTCAATGCCCACTGTGGCTGCAAACTCAGGTTTGTAGTTGTAGTGCACCAGCCTCATCCTGGAGATCCGCTTCAGCTGCTCCGTGGTGTCCACCTGGGACAAAACAGGCACATGGAATTCCCAACGGGACATTGCTTCTCAAATCTCCACCACTCTGCCTCCAAGCAGGACAACCCATTATGGCCCATGGGAATTCCTTTGGGAGATAGCCCTGAACCCTGCTCTGAGCAGCCATGAGGACAAACACTGGAGTTAATGTCCAAGACAGGACAAGATCCTTGGATAGGGAAATCTGAGTCTCCTTGCAGAACCAGACACAGGGAAGAGAAGTTCCCAAAAACAGGTGACGGGGTTATATCCAGCTTTTCTGGACAGGCAAATCCAGCTGAGAGGAATTCAGAGCAGAGCCAAACCTCTCACCCAGGCTCTGGCAAGGCCCAGTGTGGTACCTGCCACACTGACCTTTTTTCCACTAATTTTCCACCTTTTTCCCACTGTTCGCTACTTCTGGTTAACACTGGAAGAGTCAATATTCCCTAAGACACTGGACTGGCTGTGCTTGTGACAGAAAAAATCCTAAGGCACTTCCCATTTGCTCTGCAGCCATAGGATCATGGAATATCTCTAGCTGGGAGGGACCCACAAGAATCACTGGAGTTCCTCAGCCTCCTGGTGACCCCAAGCCCACCCTGCTTCCCAGGTTCCCACCTCCTGGATGTCCTCCTTCACTCGGACATCCGAAGGGTGCATCAGGGACCCCATGACCTTCACGTTGCCGTGGACCACCAGGGCCTCATCCGGGCGGTCCGTGTTGATCCCCACGCGGCCGTGGTGGAACACGGTGTCCGGGAGCTGCGCCCGCTGCCACAGCACGTCACTGTCACTCTCAAACTGCCCCGGGTTGGAGGCCTGCGGAGACATGGGACAACAGGGACTGACTGAAAAGCTGGGAGGGGAACGCTGAGAAGCAGAGACGGGGAAGGTTGACTTCTCCTTCTTCTCCTCCTTCTCCTTCTCCTTCTCCTTCTCCTCTCCCTAAAGGAATATCCTTGCTTCCTTCAGCTGTTATCGCAGCTATCAGTGTTCCAGCCACTCAGAACAGCAGGAAACCAAGTGACATGGATGATACTCCTGGGTCCCAAACTCAGAGCATTCCAGGCTGCCTGCAATTCCTTGAAATTCTGCACCGGGCATCCTGGAAGCTGCCTAATCCATCGTGGACTTTTTGTCTGAGGTCCCTGTTTGGGTTTTACTACCTGCTTTCATGTTTTGGAGCTGAGTGCTCCAGCAAAACCCTGGGAGAGCCTGGGAATGGTGCCTTTCTTTTCCTGCTCCCCTGCCTTAGGATATGAAAAAGTGGTGTTCTGGGAGAGTGCCCAATCTTTCTGCATCTTCTTGTTCCTGCTGCAGAGAGTTCCAACAACACTCTTTCCTCATTCAAAATAATTCTATTGCACACTGATCCCATTTGGAGAATGGGATTCCTTCCTGTAACAGGCTCTTGAAACAAGTTTGGAAAGTCTGAAGCCAGAATTCAAGTGTGGACAGGGAAAGCCACAAGCAAGGCAGGAAGAGTTTGGAGGAGGTGGGAAAGGTGGGATATCAAGTTTGGAAAAGACCTCTGATAACATTGAAGCCAACCCAGCACCTCCACCACATTCACCACTAAAGCACAACCCACAACCACACATTTTGCGGATGTGGAATGTGGGAAACAGCCAGGATGATGCAACAAAGGAGTGTGGGGACAGAAAGAGAAAACAGGGATTTACCCGGACGATGATCCGCTCGGAGATGTGGGCTGCCAGCGTGTAGTTCTGGTTCTGGGCGTGTGCCTGCAGGGCCACCACCAGCATGAAGTACCTGCAGAGGGACACTCAGAGCTCAGGGACACATCCTGTGCTGGGAAGAGCCAGATCTCTGTCCCCTCTGGAGCACTGGGCACCACGGTAGGCTCACAGCATCCCCTCTCCTTGTGCTGGGTGTCCCCAACCCCTCCCAGACCAGGGACACCCTTCTGGTGTCCACAATCCAAGCCCTATTCCCACATCCCACTCCAGCCACTCTGCCCAGCCCAGGGACAGGCAGATCCACAGGATTCCCAGGATGTTATGAAGGAGGCCCCTGTGTTCTCCCTCACCTCTGGTCCGGGTTGGGTTTGCCTTTTTTCCTCATGTTGTTGGCCGTGGTCTCGCTGAAGTGCAGCCGCCCCACAGTGACCTTGGTGACCTGCTCTGGGGGGAGGTTCACCCTGGAGGGAAAGGAAAACAAAGCAATGAGTGAGGATGGTGGCTATCTGGGAATGGTGCCTAACTATTCCCACTTCCTTCCTTAGGTGGAGAGTACACAGTTTTCCTGCACCTGGAGGCCTTGAACCCAACAGCACTCTTCCCTCATTCCCAGCTGCACACTGGTCCTATCTTGGGACCTGCCACACATACTTCATGCCCTGAGGAACCAGGTATGGAGAGGCTGGAGCCACAACCTGGAGAGGAGAGCTTTTTTGGGAATGGCCATCTCCTGGCCTGCTCCACAGTCCGTGACGTGGGCACAGAGCAGGGTTGGGAATGCAAAGAGAGGAAATCAGGAGAAAACTGGAGAGTGTGGCACTCACACAGTGGAGTGGGAGACCTCCAACTCCACCATTTCCCCACCTTCTCCTGCTGTTGTTTATTCCCTGGAAGCAGAGGATGCTCATTCCCACAAGGACACACTCACGTGACGGGGTTGAAGGGCCGTTTGCTGCGGTCCGACTGCGACTGCTCGATGTTGATGGACTGGTTCAAGGCCTCGAGCTGGAGAGAAGGATTTGGGAATGTGGCACAGAGCACAGAGACTTTCCCCTTTCCACCTCCTCCCTCCCAGCTCTCTGCCCACCCTTCCATGACAGGGTACATCTGATGCTGAACACCCAGCCTGAGTGTGGGCATTGTCCAAGTGTCAAAAAAGTTGAGGGTGGAAAGATCTTCCCAACGTGCCCACTGGAGTCAAAGGTGAGTGGGAAGCAATCCTGAAGATAGCCAGACTGAGCCCATCTTAGGACTTGTATTTCAATGGCCTCAGGGGATGTTTAAATTGGATATCAGGGAAAACTCCTTCATGGAAAGGGTGGTCAGACATTGAAACAAGCTGCCCAGGGCAGTGGTAGAGTCACCATTCCTAGAGGGATTTAAAAGCTGTGTGGATGTGGCACTTGGGGACATGGATTAGTGGTGGCCTTAGCAGTGCTGGGAGAAGGGCTGGACTCCATGATCCTAGAGGGCTTTTCCAACCTATCCCATTCCATGATTGTGTGACTCCACACATTCCTCTACTACATGAAGAGGTGCTGTTACCTGTCTCCAGCCACCTCCCAATCCCTCTGCTCCCAGCTGGATCCACCATGGTCCCTCAGCTCCCTCTCACCTTCACTCCATGCAGCTTCAGGTAGAAGCACTCCAAGGGTTTCAGGCCCTCAGGGGTCTTCACGTACTTGGGGTCGCCGAGCATTCCGATGTACACGGTGACCTGGAAGTGGTTCTTCTTCTGGCACACGAAGGCGTCGTCCCCCACGGAGAAGTTGAAGCCCTTGTCAGCATCCACGCGGTACGTGAGCATCGGGCTGGGGAGAGGGAGTGGCTGAGAACAGCAATTCCCCACAGAAACTGTGGATATCCCATCCCTGGAAGGGTTCCATGCCAGGATGGATGGGGCTTGGAGCAAGCTGGGCTAGCGGGAGGTGTCCCTGCCCGTGGATCGTCACTGGGTGATCCATAAGGTCCCTTCCAACCCACATCATTCCACAGCTCTTTCCATTCAACTGGGAAGGAATATGGAGATCCCAAGTTCCAAAATCTGGAGCATCCCTTTAACATGGGAGTAGCAGCTCAGACTGACCCACACCTCGTGGCATTCCCAATGTTACCTTCTACCAGCTGTACCCTCCCAAATTCCAGCTGAAATCACAACCACCTGCCCTGGCTGCTGTGGAAAAGCTTCCAGCTCTCCCAGTGGACAGGTCTGGAGGAGGAGAGGGAGGGAGGAGGAGGAGGGGTCCTGGCTGCTCCATGAACACACACCAGCTGGAAAGGTTTAATCTACATCTCCTTAATGGGCTGGTTTCCATGGGAATCAGGGAAATATGTGGCCTTTGCAGTGAGTCCGTTTTCCTCACCATCCACAAAGCCCAGTCCTGGGCTGGTGGGCCCTCGGAAGGGGGGGAAGGAGCTGGCTTCTCATCCCACAGAACACCCAAATCCCATTGTTTTTAATTAAGGAACAGGGGATGAGGTAAAGGGGAGGCTCAGCCCAGCCTTGGATCTCAGGCTTAAAAATTATGGAGTACTTTTCCCCCAAACCAAACCACTTCTGACTTCCACCTCCAGAAGGACTGGAGCAACGGGAGGGGAGGTGGACAGACTGACAGTAAGAAATGTGGCAAAACTCAGGAGACAGGGATTCTTCACTGGTATGCCTCCTTTTTTTATGGAATAAAACCATTCTTCCCATGCAACCACCTGAGGAGTTAATGTGGATGAGAGCTGGGGGTGATTCCAGGTTGCCATGAGTAATTCTGGGATAGCCACGAGGAACCACTCACTCCTTACGCCCCAGGGACTCGGGAATGCTGTGCCCTGCTCCAGACACAAACCAGGCGGTGGGAGCAGAGCACTACCTTAGCCCAGAGGCATGAGAGGAATTCCCCACCCTCCTCCCAGCCTCAGCCCTGGATTCTCCATCTGGATATTCCTGACTGGGACACGCAGCTGAAGCTGACCCAAGCACCCTCATCCCAATGGGACCCAAGTGAAGCCATTACCGTTTTTTTTAATAGCTCCCAAATGTTCACCACTCTTCCCAGTGTTTTTTAACTGGCAAAGCCAAGGAAAGGAAGGGTCTATCTGAACTTCCAAACCATGGATGCTTCCCAAACTGGAAAACTGACAGCTGCTAAATGTGTGCTGACAGAGGTGAGACAGGCAAGCCCCCCCTGCTTGGCCTTCTGGAAATTCCAGGTCTTCCATTATCCCCTTTCAGAGGTTCCTTTTCACTGATTTTTCCCATTTCCCCAATGGCTGTGCTGCTGCATTCCCCAGATTGGGATCCCTGCACTGGATTGATCAGAGGGAAGAAGCTGCTCTCCATGCTGGCTTTTCCAGGACAGGGCAGGGGCCAAAGGGCAAAGTGTCAGGAATAAAAGGTCTGGGGTCAAATGGATTATTTGATCCCGAACATCCCCACTGACAGGGGGGGATTAAGGCAGGACAGAAGGGCAGGATCAGAGGAGGTTTTTCCCAATCCCAGTGAGGGTAAGGGGTTACAAACTCTCCACAGGGAATTGTACTGGGATTTGGCCAAGAGCAGGACGGCAGAGGGATGCTCATGTTCCCCCATTCCTTCCTTCCTTCTGTCCATCCAGGTTTCCCCATATTTAAACCACTCCTAAAACATAATATTGGGAGATCCGTAATCCAAAGAGATTCCCTGATTCCATGCATTCCTTGATTTCTTTTGCTTCCAGGATACAAACTCCAGCTGAGCAGCAGGACACTGTCATCCCTCCCACACAATCCCACCTGTGTGTCCATACTATGTATTCCCTTCAGCTTCCCAGGACACATCCATGATCCATCACCAGCACCACATATCACATATCCCAAAACACATCCAGCAGGTCTGGACCATGACTGGTCTCCATTCCCTTGGTGAGATCCAGGATGTGCAGCACAGCCAGGTTTGGAGCTGTTTATCCTGACACTTCTACCAGCCAAGGGGTGCAACCCCAAAAGCCCAGGATTAGCCCCCAGAGAGCACCAGTTTGCTGGATGGGAAAAGAACAGCACCTTCCCATTTTCCCAGTTGCAAGGCTCTGGCCTCAGCATGGAGCTGTTTCCATGAAGGGCAGCACTATTCCCAGCTGCCTTCCCTCAAACTGGGAGAGGGAGGAGGGAGCTGGAATTTATCTGAGCCCGCTGTCAGGAAGATGAATGGCTCCTTCTCCCAGGAGTAAATTAGGGAATTGCCCGGTTCCAGGCCTCTTTGGCTCTGCTGCTGGAAACCAGCTCATCCCTGGAAATGTTCACTGAGCCTAAAACCACAAAATCAGAGCAAAAGGCCAAAAACATTGTATGCCATCCATAAAATTAATCCAGGGATTTCTGTCTCCTTCAACAACACAGATTCCTTGGCAAAACCTGAGACACGGGCCTGGAATGGAACCTAATCCCTACCCCATCCCCTTATGGAACCTCATTTTTTGTGTGCAAAGGGAGGAAAACGTGGAATAGCATTAATTGTGCTTTTTGCCCTGTAATCACTCCCAAAAATCTGGTAAGAACCTGGACAGCTTCCCATGCTCTCCCTCCTTCACCTCCTCTCTGGACTCTTTTCTTAGGATCAAGAGTAGGAAAAATCAGATAATTCAGATGATTCACATTCCTGAGGCTGTGAAAAGGTTTTGGGCACCTGGATCACAGGGAACTCAAGCAGCACATCGAGACTGGGGACAGCTTCCAGCAGAAACCAGACTGGGAATGGCTGCTCCTTGGAAGCTAAACTGGGGGAATAGTTGTGGATCCTGATGTGGATGCTGCTCGTTTGCTGAGGACACTCAAAAGCAGAAAAGAAGGAGACAATTCCCACCTGTCAAATTTGAGTTAACCAACCTAAAAAATGCCATTATAGGAGCAAGAAAAGATGGACTTTTTTTGTGTGTTTCTCATAGCTTATCCCAAGAAAGTGCTGCACCAGGAGAATGAAGGGATGCTCCATTTAAAAAGAGATGAAGGTCCAGCTTAGACAGGAGCAGGAAGAGTCCCCTGAGGTAACGTGGAGCTAAAAATTAATCAATCAACCTTTAACCCTTAATTCTGCTCAAATCCAGCACCACAACAAAGCCCACGTGGCTTCCTCAAATCCCCATGGAGTCACCTCAGTGGAATTTATTCCTTACACAACAGGATGACGACCTCAATGCCCCAGGAGTGGGTTTGCTCTGGCTTTTACCCTAAATCCTGAAAGCAGGCATTAGGGAAGTGATCCCAAGATCCAGAGGGCAGGGCTGGTTTTGTAGATGTTCTCCAGCAACTCCTCTGTGTCCAGCATAAAATAACGTGGAGTTTGTCTCTGCCAATCCACCTGGGGACAGCAGGGTGCATGGAAAATCTCTGGAACTGGGATAGAAATGCCTGGAAATGGCATGGGATAGGCTGTGATGTGTTTGGGATGGAAAAACATCTTCCCAGAGCAGGAAGCAGTGAGAAGGAAAAGGGAGGCTGAAAAACCAAAGGATAAGAGGTGACGTGTCCAGACAGAGATCAGAGGAGGTGGCAGTGGAATTCCTGCACATGGAACAGGGATTTGGGGACAGGATCCATGGGAGATGCTCGGCTTTCCCCATCCCACCATCCAGAGGGAGCAAACTGGTGCTGGAGAGCAGGGAAAGGTGCAGGATGGCTTTGGAGCTGCTGATACTCTTTTATGGGAATGGCTTGGTAAACCAGAAGGAGTTGTCTTTCCAAATCATCCCTCTCCTGCTGTGGGGTGGGAAAACAGCCACAGAGTCCAAAAGAGACAAACAGCTCCAACAGAGAATTCCCTGCCCTGGCACCACCATGAAAGATGGGATAAAATTCCCCGCCCATTCCCACCATGAAAGATGGGATAAAGACTGGATGAGCAGATTTTGTGGGAAAGCTGGGACTCTGCCCCCACTCTTGGAGTCCTTGGCTCCCATTCCCAGGCAAAGTGTGATCATAGTCCAGGGTTATCCACAGGTACCAGAGCATTCCCTGCTCCATGTCCCCCACAGGACCCCAGCTGGCTGTGTGGAAAGAGGAGGGAGGGAATTGGGAGGGAAGAGAGGGTCCTGGGAGGTTCCTGGAAGCCATCCCACTGCTTGCCAACTCTTTGTCACCTCCCAGGAATGCAGGGAGGATCCAGAGTGGTTTCCTCCTGAGCACTCCTCCTTCCCTGTGTGCTGTCTCCACCCTCTGCTGCCTCAATTCCCAGTCCACCTTCCCACTTCTCTCTTCCCTGTCTTGATCATCCCAGCCTTCCTCTCTGGCCTGTCTGCCACTTCCTAGATCTCCTAAATCCCTTCCCCTCTTTTTCCTTCCTCCTCTGCCCCCTCCACCACTCCCACTCCTCCTCCTCCTCCAGGTCCTTTCCACACTGCTCAAGCTGCCCTGAAGTGGCTCTGGATGACCTCCAGCCTCCCACACTAGGACTTCTCAATCCTAAATTTAAAATCCAGGACCCTGGTAAAGCTAGGGAGGGGGAAAAGATGCTGCTCATCCCAACTTTCCTCAGGACAAGGCCAGATTTGCCAATAAAGCCCTCCATTGTGAGCAAGGTCTGAGTGGCTCTGGAATTGTTACCAAAGCTGCTGAAATGCCTTCTGCTATTCCTTAATTATCCATAAAAGGTGTGAAGGAGCAACATTCCCAGTAGGGAAGGGGCAATGGGGAGCATTGCCTCCACCACAAAGCCCAGCCCAGGCAGATCCTTATCCCATATTTCAAATGGGATGCTGCCAACCCCAATGGCTCACCACTTGCACAAGAAATGTGAATCCCACTTTCCCCAGCGCCGAGGGAATTACTCACAGCTCCTTGTAGTTGGCATCATACAGAGTTGCCCACTTGTTCTGCTGGTGTGGCTGCCACTTGATGGACTGGAAGTTGGGATCCAGGTAGGAGCCGTTCAGGCTGTCATTATCCTGAATCAGGCCTGTGGGGAACAATTAAAATGGATTAAATCCCGATTTTACTCACCGGGCTGAGTATCCAGAGGGGTGGGAGCCCAAGGAAGCGATGGGCACTGCCTCAAGCTTCCCTCCTTCTGCTGGGGCAGCACCAGATCCAGGGAGGATCCCACAGGCTGGCAAACTCTGGCAACCATCCTCCCTCCTCCCACGGCCCTGGCCCAGGGCTGGAATTCAGGGGATAACGGGGTACCTGGAGAGAGCGCTCCCGGCTGGTGCCACGGCGGGGTCTGGACGCGGTCGGGGTTGAGCGGCACCGATCCCATTCCCGGCTCCTGCTTGATCAGCCCGTTGAGCATCTGGGCATTGAGGGTGTTGGGGGGCGACTCAGAGTGTTTCCGCTTCTTGGCGGGATGCACCGGGAGGCTGTGGATACCACGGGAACAATCAGCAGGGAACGGAGGGTCGGGAGGTGACAACCCCACAGCCAGGACAAGTGGGATCTCACATGGAAAACTCAACATTCCCACAGCGCCGTCCCACCTTATCCCACACTCCTGAGTCTGGGTCACCACTTGTGCTGAGCCACATCTTTAATTCCACAGAATCCCAGAATGGTTTGGGTTGGATGAGACCTTAAAGCTCATCCGGTTCCTAACCCTAACCCTAACCTTCCACAGATTTCCCATGTCTGTTCCCACCACCCAACCCCACACTTCAGGCAACACACACACCTCCAGCTCCCGTTCCCTCACCCCCACCATTCCCAGGCCTTACTCGGCTCCATGCTGCTGGAGGAGCTGGTGCAGCATCTGGGATTGCTGGGCATGGTGCAGCTCGGCAGGCGCCATTCCCGGCCCGACGCTGTACGGAGGCATCAGGGGTTCGGCCTTCAGGAACATATCCCGCTGCAGGCCGGGAAAGTGGGAATTGTGCTGCGGCTGGAGGGGGTGAGGGGGCGGCGGGGGCGGCGGAGGGGGACCCTGGAGGTGAGGGGGGGGAGGAGGAGGTGGAGGAGGAGGAGGATGCTCCAGGCGGGAAGGGGGAGTCATGTGACACATATTTTCGGGAGTCATGGTCCGGAGGAGGTGAGGATCTGGAAAGGGAGAAAGAGCCAAAGTCAGGAGTGTCCTTATCCCACTGACCCAGTTATCTTGGATTCTCAGGCTGGATGAGGCTTGGAACAACCTGGGCTAGGGAAAGTGTCCCTGCCCGTGGCAGGGGGTTGGAATGGGATGAGCCTTAAGGCCCTTTTCCACCCAAACCATTCCAAGATTCTATCATTCCATGAGACAGTGAGGGAGAAGAGTCAATGGAATTACCTGAACACCCCCAGCACTTCCAGGGAGGATTTCTGAGGGGGCACTTTAAACATTTTAACTGAAACCAAGAGGAGACTTTGATCCCAGAATTTAAATAGATAAAAAGGGACATTCAAATGCGATTCCACCTTTCTCCTCCTCCATTTGGAATGGGATATTAAAGCCATTCTATAATTAGGGTGGATTTGACTACACCAGCACAAATAGAAATGTTTTGGGTGTGGAGGGACATGCAAATCCATGTCCCTTCCTGCTCTGCTCCTCAAGACCTCAACATTCCAGATCCACTCCCCTCCAGGGGCTGGGACACCTTCCACTATCCCAGGTTGCTCCAACCTATGTCCAATCTGGCCTGGAACACTTCCAGGGATGAGGCAGCCACAGCTTCTCTGGGAAATCCATTCCAGTGCCTCACTGCCCTCACAGGGAAGAATTCCTTCCCAATGTCCCTCTGGTAGTGGGAAGCCATTCTCTCCTGTCCTGACATTCCATGCCCTTGTCCCAAGTCCCTCTCCAGCCTCCTTTTTCTTCACCAGGACAAAGCCCATCTGTTTTTCCAGCCTTTCCCTGATATTTGGATCAACCCGTGCCTTCAGGTGTCCCCACAAAACACCGCAATCCAGGCAGGAATGAGGGACTGACTCCTGGGATGTGAGGAAACCGCGGGGTAGGAAGAGACAGTGACTTTGTTTTAAATGCAAGACAAAGCTTCTTCATGCTCCAATGCGGAAAACCGGCCGGAAAACGCATCCAGGGACTGGCCAAGCCAGGCACAGCCTCTGGGAACACCGAGAGGGACGGCAGGGAAGGATCTGTTGGATCTTTCCAGGCTGAGCTGGATGGACTTTGGCCTCAGAACACCCAGGCAGGGGTTGAGTAATGAGGCCAAAGCGCTTGACCAGGAATGGGAAAACTCCTCCCGTCAGAAGGTTTGGAAAATTGGAATGTGTTTGCACTGGGTCCTCCTGCTGAAGGCTGCCAGGACAGGGCTGCTTTCACCCATCCTGCTCCCTCTAAGGTGTTCTGCTTCCCCCTGGGACCTCCTAGTGCCTTTTCCACACACATGGAACCGGATTCCTCCTTCCAGGCTCATTCCTGGGCCAGACTTTTTTTGGAAGCTGCCTCAGGGACAGCCTAGCCAAGGATAGGCAAGTGATGTGCTTGCCCAAGGCATTCCCAAACCCAGGGAAAATCATCTCCAGGAATGTGATCCCAGCTTTGTGGGTGCCCTCTGGAGCCTCCTCTCCGTCCCAAGTGAGCTCCGAGCACTCCAAAGCTGCCTTCCCCATGGTGAGCAGCCCGGCCTCTTTGTTATATTTAAGGAAGGGCCAGGAGGAATTCCAGGGATTTTTTTTAGCAAGATAAACAGAACTCTTGACCTCTTCCATCAAAAAAAAAAAAAAAAAAAGAGGAGCAGGCGCTGTTCCCGGTGGGGACTGGGCTGGAGCCTGGGGAAGAGGAGGGTGCTCCTGCCGAGGGGGAAGGGAGACCAGGACAACCTTCCCTCCTTCCTTCCCAAGGAGTTTTGCCATGGTAGAACAGTGAAGGTCACCAGAGGGACCAAACAACCCTGGGTGGCTCTCCTGGGGGAGGCCAGGAGTACCCTGCAGACACCCTGGAGGGGTCCCAGCTCCCTGTGCCATTTCAGCGGGAGCGGGAGATCCTCGGGATCAGCTGGAGGGGAGGGAAAGGCTGGGAAGGAACTTACTGGAGAATGGCGGGTTCATGGCTGCCTCCCAGAGCCAGGTTCCATGTCAGGGACGCGCTCCCGCTCCGTGTTCCCGAGGCAGAGGGCAGGACGAGGGGGACGGCGGGCTCCACATCCCACCCTGCCACGCTGTGCCCGAGCCCACGGATCCCCACCACGGATTCAGTGCCCGTGGATTCTGGATTCCCACCACGGAGTCCGTGTCCGTGGACTCCCAGCTCTCCTTCTGTGCCAGTCCCTCTCCCCCTTTCCAGAGCCGGGAGCGGAACAATGGGCGAAAGCTGAGGGATATTTACTAACTGATAATCTCCCCACGTAGTGCAGCCGCCTGTTTTCTCCCAGCTGATAAAGATTGCAGAGCCAACCACTTTCACGGAATAAAAAGGGGGTGGATGCTGGATTTGGGGTTTGGATTAGGATATTTTCCCCCTCCTTTTCCCTTTTTGAAGCACTTACCATTCACCTGCTGAGGGGAGTAGGCTTCCGATCCGGAATCCGGGGGAGAGTCCGGCAAAGTGCTGTGGAGCAATGGGAAAAGAGAAGGGGAAGTCATTTTAATCCAGCTTCCAGCACAACCAAGAGGTCCAGGTGGATTCAAGCACCCTCCAGGATCTGGCAGGGGAATCCCAGGTGTGCCTGCAGCAGATCCCAGACACCCTGAGCGTGTCCATCACTGTCACAGGTTCCACTGGAGCTCGGGAACAGGGACATTCTGTTGAGCTGACAGTGAGAATTCGAGGGAAAAGAAGCCAAACAAATGTATCTGCTTCCCAGGGAAAGGTGTGCTTCCCGTGGAAATGTCAGTCAGTGATCAAGTGGAATGCACAGAGGTCTCTCCCCATCCCGGGAAGCTGTTCCAGGCCAGGATAGAAAAGTCTTGGACCAGCCTAGGATGGTGGAACATGTCCCTGCCCATGGCAAGTGCTGGGACTGAATGGGCTTTACAGTCCCTTCACATCCAAACAATTCCATGATTCTATGAAATGAGAGGCTCTGGGAAGCCCATGGAATGGATTTTGCCTGTACAAACCTGAGCAACACCACAGCTCCTGCTGTATTCCCCTGGATATATTCCAACATCACCAGGAGCAGGATTTGGCCCTGATTGTGAAATACAATCAAAAAAAAAAGTGGGAGCTCTCAGCTGCCTTTTCCAGCACATCCATGGCTAGGGATGGCAGGATCAGGTCATGTGTGGTGGCACGGCAGGGACAGGGAGGAGGACCATGGCACATTCCCATTCTCCATGGGAATTCTTTTCCATTCACCCATCCTATCCCATCAGCTTTATGGATGTGAAATAACCTCAGAGAAATCCCAGAGTTCCTTGGATGAAAGCCAGCTGAAAGGCAAATGAATTTTGGGAAAGGGAGAAAAAGCACAGGACACACTGCTCCAACTCTGCTCCTGACAGCACCCACAATTCCAGCTGGGAACCAGGATGCAGGATCTTCCAGGAGCAGAGAAGCTCAAGGCCCATTGATTGGATTTTCCACGGGAAGTTGCACACAGCAGGGGCTGAAGAGGGCTGAGGTAAGGTGATCCCAAAAAACCCCTTGCCATGCTTCCCTCATCCTCCACCTTCCCTTGGAGCACCTTTCCATCACTCCCTTCCCAGCCTTATTTCCAGGCTCCTTGCCATGTGGGATCTGAGTTCATTCTGTATTTCCTATGGATTTATCAGGATTTATGCACCAGCAGGCCAAGTCTTGGCCAGTAACAAAAGGGAACAGCACAATTCAAGGAATCCAGGAGGCTGGAAAAAGCGGACACTGCAGAATTCCCACTGGGAGGTAGTGGCTGTGCCCAGTCCAAGGGAAGGGTTTGTTGGTATCCACCACATTGTCCCTGAGCACAGGATGGGATGCTTGGGCCAGGAAGTGGGCTCCATTATCCTTATGTGTCCCTTCCAGGATATTCCATGATTCTTCACTGGGAAAAGCCTGGCACAAGGGGGAAGAGTCATTCTGGGATGCTGAGGGAATGCTGCCATCAAAGCTGATCCAGTTCAGCTACATCCAAACGAGGTCTCCACCTCTGACAGCAAGGTGTGATCCTTACTCATGACATCCTGCAGAATTCCAGATGCATCCAGAAGAAAAGGACATAACAAGGCAGCACTTCATGCTGTTGATTCCCCCTAAGCTCCAGATATTCTTTTGGAATCACTGCAAGGGAAAACCCCCTGGTCTGGGAATAAAAGAAAGGCAGATTTTTTTCTTTCAGCTTCTGGGGATCTCTTTCCAAGTTCATCCAAAGGGTGAAAGTTGTTGACTGAATGCTCCCAAATTTGGGAATCCCCATGTTGTGCTTGCTGGCAACACTAGAGGGCACAAGGCAGAGGGAGAAGAGCCATCCTGGCCTCACTGTCCTTACATCCACAATCCATCCTATGGGAGAAGGCTGTCCAGAGCCATTACCACCTAAAGATCCAGGCTGGAGCACAGCACAGCACCTTGGGATGTTACTGATCCCCTCCTTCCATCCTGGAGAGCAGGAACCACATCCTTTCTCCTCTTGGGAATAACTCTCCAGCTGGGTCCATCAGCAATCTCAGAACCCGCCCTTCATCTTCCCCAGAGCTTGTTGAACAGGACACATCCACTCAGATCCATCTTCTCCTCTGGAGCAGAGCATCTACAACATCAGGCCTTGAGAAGAACATCTCCCTGCCCAGTGTAGTGAATTATCCTCTGGAATAGTCATGGCAACATCCCAGAGGCTGAGTTCCATCCCAGAGACTGAATTTTGTCTTGTTACAGTTTATTCTGTGTCTCTTCTTCCTTAAAAATGCTCCAATGTTCTCCCACCTGCAGATGTCCAGCAGAGGTATCCAGTACTCTACAATGGCATGGGGGATGGTCCCAAAAAACCTTCTGGGAAGCTCCAGGAGCTCCACTCGCCCAAAACCAAGCACTTACCACAGAGCCACGCTGCCACAGCTCCATGGGACCCTGCAGGTGCCACCAGCCTGGAGGATCCTCCATCCCAGCGCCCACCCTTATCCCGCCACCCCATTCCCACTCACCCAGGTGCGTAGGAGGCCTTGGGCTCTGACTTGATGGGAGGCACCACGCTGCTCAGGCAGTGGCCAGGCAGGAAGCCCTTGGGCACCACCATGCCGTTGTTGTTGTTGCAGTTGAGGTGCGCTCCGTAGGCGGCTCCGCAGGGAGCGGCCAGGAGGGGCCCATGGCGGATGGGGAGCTGGCTGCCGGCCGCAGGGAGGTGGAGGGCAGCGCTGGGAGAGGGATTGCTCACGCTGCCGATGGAGCTGCCGGGAGGTGCCGGGATGCCGGCGGAGCTGGAGGGCTGGGGGTGCGTGTAGCTGGCGGGAGCAGGGATCTCAGGGAAGCAGCTGAGGGAGAAAACGGGACAATGTCAGGGCAACAAGACAGTGAGACTGATGGAAGAGTCCAAAATCCACCCAGGAAGTTCTGAAGTGCCCAGGACAGCAGCCTCAAGGTTTGTGTAGCCAGCAGGATGTGCTCACTGTGCTCCAGCTTTGCAGACCAGCCATGCCAAAGATTCCCACTCTGCTCCCAGATTCCCTTGGTCTCCAGGTCTGCTCCATCCTCCTTCCCAAAGTTGGGGTACACAGGGAGATCCTTCCCTTCTGCAAACTCGCACAGTCCTGGGGATTTAATCTGAGCTCCCAGTGCTCTGATTAAGGAAAAGTGTTTATGGTGCCCTTGTAGGGGATAAAGAGAGGGGAAAAAAAAAAGACTGGGAAAACTTGAAGGTTAGAAGCCAGGAAGAGACAGGAGAAAGAGATGTGAATGATAAAGGAGCAAAGAGAAATCCAGGAAGACTATGGAGAGGCAGAGGTGATTCCCAAATGATTCCTCAAATTTCAGGGCTGGAAACTGCTCAACAGGTTTCCAGAGAAGCTGTGGCTGCCCCATCCCTGAGAGTGTTCCACAACAGGGTGGGCAGGGCTTGGAGTAACCTGGAATATTGGAAGGTGTCCTGTCCATGGCAGGGGTGGAACGGGATGGGCTTCAAGGTCCCCTCTGACCCAAAGGTTCCTTCCCACCCAAACCATTCCAGGCTTCTGTGATTTCTCCATGGAAAAATCACAAGGAACACTGTTCCTGCTGCAGAGCAAGGGAAGCACTTACATCTCTGGAGAGTCTTCCTTGCTGATGTACTCTTCCAGGATGCTGGTGTCGATGTTGGATGGTTCCAGAGCTCCATTAATGTCGTGGCCTGGAGGGGAGAGGAGGTGGAAACGTGAGCCAGGAGAAGGACAGGAAAGGGCCTTGGAAACACCACCAGACCCTTACACAGTCAAGGAACTGATCTGAGAATTGTGGAATAATGGAATGGGTTGGAAGGGACCTTAAAGATCATCTCATCCCAACCCCCTGCCATGGGCAGGGATGACTCACTAGATCAGCAGATCCCTGGGGACTGCCAGCTGTCCATACCCACTGCATCCCAGTGTAAAGCCTCATCCCAGGAGATAGGGCACGTGGGACAAGCCAGGGCAGGGACACGGACACATGCTGGGAACCAGATCCTTTGGGATCCCTTCCAACTCAGGACATTCTATGATTCCCTTTGAACCCTTTGCAGAACACTGGAATTCTCCACCACAACCTGGATCAACCCCTGACCTTCCTCCCTCTCCTCTACCCCATGGGCAGGCTGTGGATTTCCCTGTCCTTTCTCCAGAGGGCTCCTCCTCCCCTCCCTGCCCTGTTCCAGGGAAGCTGGGCAGGGTTTGTTGACAGAAAATCCTTCCTTTATCTGTCTCTCCCAGGTGGGAGTCCGGAGGCCGCTGGGGCCAGAGCCAGACTGCTGTGCCAAAGGCACTGCCAAGAAAGTGGAAGAGAAGATCCAACTCCCCCTGCTCTGATAAGGAACTCAGTGAAAGACCATCCTGAAAGACCCCACGTGAAAGCCCAGGAGAAGCCCCTGCCCGCCCGGATCCCCCAGCTTCCCGGGAAAGGTCACTTGCTGATCCACAAAGGCCAGCCCAGGGGGCTCCAGCCCACCCCGGCCAATTGCAGCTCTCCCTCTGCAAATCCCTTTCATACCAAGACAGGCAAATCGGCAGAAATAAATCCAGCTAGGAATTCTGCCAAGCGGACAGGGTGTGTGTGGATACAGGGAGCTCTGCCTTAGAAACCTTGGCTGGAGGGGGGGAAAATCCCGGGGAACCGTTCGTTTTTGGGACATTTCTGTGGCAGAGCCCAGGGACCTGGGGACAGGGTGAGGGTGTTGCATGTGAACACAGGAGCAGGATGTGAACATCTGGAGCAGGGACACATGATGCTGCTTCCAGGTGAGCACTGAGGCGAGGAAAGAGCAGGCAGAGCCTCCGGGAACTCCATCATATCCCATATGGAGTTGCAGATCCCAAGGGAGCACAGGGTTTGCTTCTGTCCCTCCACTGTGGCAGCCACATCCTATCCTGAAGTTCCTGGGATGTGGTAGCTCCACCCTCTTGTCCTCAGAGTTATGGGAGATCACTGATGGCCATCCATGTGTCCCTTGCTCATCCCTAAGGATCTCTGCCATAGCCCACCCCCAACACTTCACCACAAACACATCTCCCAAGGCGCCTCTTCAAGCCCTCACTCTCATCCCGTAACATCCCCAAAATCTCCTGCCAGGGATGAGCACTCCAGGAGGGTGGGAATCCTCCCTGTGCTCAGCTGCCTCCCTCTTAGCCAAAAAACCCCCAGGCTATAAATCACAGCATGCCTGTGGCAAACACCCACCCCAAAGGCCATCAGGAAACTTGTCCTCATCCCAAGTTTCGACACTGGGATCCACGATCAAAGCAGCAAAAAGAGCACTTGGCCAATTTTTGTGACTCAGCCTGTCCAAGAAAAGTTCAACAGGTTTCCCTCATACCTCCAAACTCCAGGGGCTCCTCTGTGGTGGAAGAGGAGACCAGGAACCCTCCAGGATGTGAGGGATGAGAAGCCCTCTATAGACAGCAGGATGCTGCGCTTCCCAATTTTCTGAGGGTGCTGAGGCCCTGGAACAGGGTGCCCAGAGAAGCTGTGGCTGCCCCATCCCTGGAAGTGCTCCAGGCCAGGCTGGATGGGACTTGGAGCAGCCTGGGACACTGGCAGGTGTCCCTGCCCATGCCAAGAGGGTACTGGACGAGCTTCACAGTCCTTCCAACTCAAACCATTCCAGGATTCCTTTGCTTCCTCAAAGTCACCTTGGGGAGGTGAGATAAGCCCGCTGACGTGAGAGGTGCGTCAGGGCTGGGGGGCAGATGGGGCTGCCCACCAGAAATCAAGGACCTTCCTCTGCTCCAGGACAGTGGGATTTGCACAAATCCAGGGACATCAGGGCAGGGACGAGGAATGTCCCACCGCCCAGAGCTTCCATGCAGTCGGGCTCTGACCAAAGCCAGCTTAGGTGATTAATTAAAAGCTAATACTGCTCCATAGTCACGAGATCCCAAGGGGACAGGCATTCCCTCCCCCTCCCAAGTGGGGATTAGAGGGAAGCCACCGAGGAGGGAAGCTCAACACCCACATGGCTCTGCACGGGACAGGCTCCCACATCTCATTCCAGCAAAGAAAGATGGAGAAGCAAAGGAAAGCACTGAACCCACCCATCCCAAACCTGCCAGGTCCCTACATCCCATCCTCCTCCTGTCCCTGGCATTGCCACCCTGCTCTCCCACCATGTCACCGCTCCACTTTCCAACCCTTCTCTGGGACAAAAGCCATGGCAATCCCCAAAAACGCCAACCTCTGCCTGAAGAACAAGAAATTAAACCCTCAGCACCCTCCTCGTGAGCGGAGCCGGGCAGGCTGAGGCCCCCGGACGTGTGAGAATGTCAGGAATCCCAATGTTTGGACTGGTTTTCTCTGCCTTCCCCAAACCTCCAAACACGCTCCACATCCCAACAGAGGTGCTTCCCACCCCCCTGCCACCTCCTCCCTGCCCCAACCGGCTCGTCCCTCCTGGTGGCACCTTCCCAGCTCCTTGTCCCAGTTTTGGGTGCTCCCAGAGATGGGCACGGGGCCATAGGGCTTGGAAAGAGTTAACAGAGCCTGGCCTCTGTGAACTGTCATATTTACAGGTCTGAGGGATTTAACTCGGAATTTTCCTGGAGTGATAGGCTGAGAAGTTTATGGAATTTCTATTTATAACAGTCCCCCCCTCCCTCTTCAATTCCTCCTCTGTTGCCTGTCTTCAAATCACCCCTAATCCTGCCTGGGTCACCTGGGGGTGGGAGGAAGGGAGAGAGCTGGAGAACTTCATCCCAGGATGCGCTAACATGAACCAGATGTGGGAAGCTGGAGATGACGACGAGGTCAGCACTCTGCAGGGGCTGGGGAACATCAGCCAGGGGTGGGGAGACACTGGGGAGGAGGAGGAGGAGAAGGAATAGGAGAAGAGGCTCTGCCAAGCCCAGCGCTTCCCAGTGCCATTGTACCAGAGAATTTTCAGGGATAACTGAGGTGCGGAACAGCCTGGGAGGTGATAAAATACCCAAAATGGTGCATGGTGGAATAGGATCTGGAAACCCCAGGAGCTTCTGGTTCCATGTGGTCCCTCTCCCAATGGAGCATCTAGATAGGTGGGAGAGATGGATGGGCAGGACACAGAGCACAAAGCTCCAGCAGGAATGACCTGGGATGCCACAGCAGTGCCGGAGCTTGGCGAGGCACAGAGCCCCGGCACACCCCGGGCTCATCACGCCTGTGTCGGCGCACCAGGGCTGGGTTGTGCAATCCTGGGGCCAGGCTGCAGCATCGGCACATTCCCGGGGCCCCGCGCCGCTCCTCACCCCCTTCTCCCTCCTGCCGTGTTTATCCTTCGGCCCGGGAGGATTGGCTGCTGGCCTGGCCCCGAGCACCAGGAATCTGCGCCGTGGCAAACAAACCAAACACCGCCTAAGCCCGGGCAGCCGCGCGGCCAGCGCTTGGCTTCGGAGCTTCTTCCCATCCTGGACGGCTCTGCCACGCAGGGAGGAGCTGCTCCAGCTGGGAATAGCATCCCTCCCACACCTGCCACCTCAGCAAACCCAGAGACTTGGGATGCATGCCTGGACTAAGCTGCTTCCATAAGGAACAGCAGGATGACGTCCCTATTGCCACACGTGCCCAACCCTGGGCTGCTTTCATCCCTTCTGGTGACCCTGGAGGAGCCCCTGGCTCCCTCTGGATCCCAGCCCAGCATTCCTGCTTAAGTAATGCTCTTTATTACCTGACTGGGATGATAACCAGCCCCCAAAGGGGGCTCCTGTAACCGGAGCAGGACACGGAGCCAGTGCTCCCACAGCTCCCCAAAGACCACCCCAGAGCAAAGTCCTGGCTGTCCAAGGCATTTCCAGGGGATCCCAGGCCTTATCTCTGATCCACAGCCCCTCCTCATCCCATTACTGTCATCCTTTGCTCCCCCCAGGAATATCATCCTTCAGCAGTTTCCTTTGGATTAGGATACCTTTGGGATGTATCCCTACACATCCCAACCCAGCCCATGTCTCTTTCCATCACAGAAGGTGGGACTGTCCCAGGCAATGCTGAGGATCATCCACCCTCCATGTCCCATACTGGGGACATTCCCCAGCCAGCCCATTCCCAAGGACAGCCCTGCCCTTCCACAGCAAAGGGGCAGCTCCTGCATCCCCTGCTCACACCAGACCAAAAAACACAAGGTCCAAATTCCAACTAATTCCACACCAAAAACACAGCCAAGGATGAGCTCTGGGATCTGTGGGATAAGATCCCAAGGAAAACACCAAACTGAGAGATAAGGATTTGGGGGTTTGTGAGAATTTGGTTGTCATGGAATTTAAATGAACTAATCAACAGAGCAATGGATACGAGCTGGGAACAAACACATCCCACCAAACCTTCTGCATAGAGAGGCCAGGATTGTTCCCAGTACCTGACTCCCTCCTTCCTGTGAACTTTTGGTGAGCTCCCAGCCAATATCCCAAATTCAACCCCTCTGCATTCCTAGAGAAACTATCCCATGCCAGACAGGGCAGGGTGCAGGGAAAGCAGTGATCAGGGATAGGGATACAGGACAGTGGGATTTAGCCAAATCCGCAGGCTGAGGGAGAAAAGAGATTTACAGGAAAGACTCAGGAGCAACAAGCTGGGTAACAGTGAGCCAGCTCCAGAGGCAAGAATAATTAACTGGCCTGGTGGGAAGTATAAGCAAATCCATGGCAGGGGGTTGGAACTGGATGATCTTTCAGCTGCTTTCCAACCCAAACCATT